TTTTTTAATTCATTTATTTTTTAAAAATAGAGTAGTGGATGATGGCTACTGTAGTATAACAGTAGATGTACAGTAGGTGTCTTAACATAATTTATAAACCTATGCTGTTCTTATATTTCTTATATTCCTATCCACACCAATTCTTTATTTATATGTCTTGGTTTCATGCCCAAAAAGTATGTTCAAAGCTTTACAACACAAACATTGTATACTGTAGATCTTTCTGATAAATAGTTTTCATTTTAAGCTCTAATACCTTACAGCTTTTATGAGCTCAATTTATATATAATTTTAAATTCTTTCAATTTCAACATACAGTACTGTACATTTGAATTTGGATTTATTACACTAAAATACAGGCTTTTTAATAATTGTCCATCTTTATTTTCTCTTCCTACTGTAACTCAGTTATTCCCATTGTAATAATTGATTGATTGAGTGATTGATTGATGAATGGATTAATTGATTAATTTGACTCCTGTTTTTCAAAAAGGCAAACAAAGAAACAGTTATTTATGGGTCTGGAATTATTCTATTTACTATATTTTAAGAGGATAACTCTTACAGCACAAAGCTAACTAGAAGAGGCCCTCTGTGTACAGTACAATAATACAAAACAAAAAAAAGAACAAGAAACAACAGTAAATAAGTAAGACACCAGGCAGCAGAGTGCAACGGAATAAGAAGAGGATTAATGATTAAGTTTGAGGTCAGATTTTAGTTGTAATTTTAAAGATGAGAGAGTAGAATCCTTAAAGAATGAGAGAGTTCAGGAGAGAAGTAGTCCGATTTAAATAAAATGATTTTTTGAAGAGTTAAAGTTTTAGACGAGGAACGACAAATTTAGGAGAAGATTGACATCTTGTCTGTGGGCCAGTTCTATTAAGGGGTCCAAAAAAAAACAAAAAATGGAAATGTTATTCAATTTCTTTAGGAAGGATTCTGATGAAAACAAAGCGTTGTTCAGTCTTAAGTCAGGCACTCACTGTGTCATATGATGGACATTCAAGGAATCCATCTACACTCCCTATGAGTGTTAGATGATGCGACACGGTACATTGATTGTCAGTCGTCATTAAGAACGATCTGTTGCGTAGCGTTGTGTTTGTTGTTGTAGAGACTCGTCAGCGGACAACCGTTGTGCGCAGTGGATACCCAGCCTTACAGATAGAGAATTTTTTTTTTCATTCATTTCTGTTGCAAAAGAACATTACAAAAAAGAAGCAAAATAAGAGAAAGGAAACTCTTACAGGTGATAAGGCTTTTTCTTTATAATGTGTAAATATATTTAAATAAAAATCTTTTCATTTTTGTTTAATAATGACTTTACTCAAGAAGGAAGAAGAGAACAACACAGGTCGGTCAGCCCAGCATCTGGATCCATCTAAAGCAAACTGAGCCAAAAAACTGGGCCAATCCGAATGTACCCGTTTTTAAATTGGGGCTCCCACTTTTTAATGCTTCTACTGTATTTCTAGCAATATTATTTTCATAAGTTTTTAGTTAAATAGATCTATTTTTTTAAGATATTGAAATTTTATTTATTTCTTGGATCTTTCATCTGCAAATATTTTGACAAGAAGTTTATATTTTTCAAAAAAGAACATTTTTAACTTAACTGAAATAATTTAAAGTCTTATTTCAATAAATTTTAAATGGTGATTACTCTTTAATCACTTTGTTATTTATAATAATAATAATTATATTTTCTTTTCAGTACCTTTAAGGAAATTGACAGAGCTCACAAAGTAAGAATCTAGCTTCCATGGTTAATAGTTACATAATTAAATCAGCTTTAAAATATGGAATAGTGCCTAGCAGTGGCGGTTCTAGGATATATTTTCTGGGGGGGGGGCTTAGCTGTCCGACAGGGTGACTTAAACTCGTAGGCTCGAGCTGGGGGAAGGGGCTGAAAGGGGTCCCCCTACCAAATGAGATTTTTTTTAAGAATAGCCACCTCTGGATGGCCGAAAATGGCACTCTCAGACTGTGACAGACATGTGTTGGCTTGGTGTGGGCCTATTTTTACATGTTTTTTTGTCTGACTGCCCAACGAGCTCTGACCGGCGGGGGGCTTGACCTGTCCAGTGGGGGACTTAAGCCCCCCTGTCCCCCCGCTGGTGCCACCACTGATGCCTAGTAGTACATAATCCTAGGTTTGGGGTCAATTTTGGATTTAAAATCCCTGAATTAAAAATTGTTTATTTAGGCTTTTTTGTAATTCTGTTTCACCGGACTTTGTGCAAAGTCTTTGGAAACAGCAACTAATAAGGATGTGAAAGTGGATGTAAGAGAACAAAGTGTGCAGATGATATATTACCATCAGATAAACAAAAGGTTTTCTTATGTCTTCACATGTATTTGCTTGGGTAATATGGTACAAAACAAAAAACAAAACATTTTTGTTTTGGATGATTATTAATTGTAGGAAGTAAAATTGATGAATTTGAACTAGACATTTTATATTGACCTCAACCCTAATAAAGTCTATTTACAGTATTACTGTATGTTCTAAAGCTCATAATAACATTGCTTTTCAAAAACTTCCAGTTAACTTTAGTACTAACATCACAATACCATACTTTAATTCTAATAAATTGCTTGCTTCTTTGTTTTTTTTTTTATTGTACCTGAGCTCTCAAATTACTGGATAAAGTGTCATAATGTTTTAAATAGAGAGTAGTTTTAGTTTGTAATGTCCTGTAATTGGCAGTGTTTATACTAAGCATTAGAACTCATTTTAACATAATAATGAGAATTCTTTATTTCTATCCCCAGTTTCATATTTGAGTCATCACTACATTCAGATTCCTCTTTCACTTTATCGATTCTGTCTGAACTTTTGTTCGACTGTGTGCATTGAACATTTGACGACGACAATAATGTCTCCAAATTCCCAACCGTAACTTCCGCTACAGGCCTCGCTTGACAATATATATCAAAGGACCTGTTAGTCTTGCACAGCTTCCTCCTCATCATCGTCATCTTCTTCATCATCATAATTGATAATTGTCCATAGCAAAGTAGGGAAGAACTATGAATTCAGAGTGTATTCAATAATAGACGTCTCATAATACACATTCACCGTATATTCAATAATAGACGTCTCATAATGCACGAAGTGTATATCAAAGCATCTAGAAAACAAAAACTTTTCGAAGGAGGAGCCAAAGACTCCCCCCTACCTATATCTAAATAGATATAGACAGGGTAAACTCTGGATCCGTGCTTGACATGTACTGTATTTAAGAGAAGTGCTTAAAAAAATATATTTACAGTATATTTTATTTTCAACATACTGGTACATTTGAATTTGAATTTATTACACTAATAATACAGGTTTTTAAATAATTGTCCATCTTTATTTTTACTTCTTAACTCAGTTGTTCTCATTGTAATAATTGATTGGTTGATTGATTGAGTGATTGATTGATGAATGGATAATTGATTAATTTGAATCCTGTTTTTCAAAAAGGTAAACAATGAAACAGTTATTTACGGGTCTGGAATTATTTAATTACTGTATCTATTTATTATTTTAAGAGGATAACTTACAGCACAAAGCTAACTAGAAGTGGCCTTCCGTGTACAGTACAATAATACAAAATCAAAAAAAGGAACAGAAAACAAACAAGAAAATAAAAATAAATAAGTAAGACACCAGGCAGCAGAGAGCAACAGAATAAGAAGAGGATCAATGATAAAGTAAAGGATAAAGGATGAGAGAGTAGAATCCTTAAAGAATGAGTGAGTTCAGGAGAAAAGTAGTTTGATAATGAAATGATTTTTTGAAGCGTAAAGTTTAGGACGAGGAACGACAAATTTAGGAGAAGATTGATATCTAGTCTGTGGGCCAGTTCTATTGAGGGGTCCAAAAATAACGAAAAATGGAAATGTTATTCAATTTCTTTAGGAAGGATTCTGATGAAAAAAAAAACGATGTTCAGTCTTAAGTCAGACACTCACTGTGTCATACAACGGACATAAGAGTAATCCATCTACACTCCTTATGAGTGTCAAACGATGTGACAAAGACAAGCCAAACCAGTCACTCATCGCAAAAATCGATTTTGAGTTATTAATACAGTGTTAGAGAGTAAAATAATAGCTATAAAATGGTAAAAAAAATCATTCAAATCGGACGTTTCGTTATGAAGTTACAAGCGTTTAACCACACAGCTGTTTAAAGAACAATATATGAGAAATTAACCGTCAAAGTTTATGATTTCAGGCATTTCTCATGCAGAAACTATCTTTAAATCCCTAAAAAGTATTGTTTTAACATTGAAAATGGGGAAAATAACAGCATACAATGATGTGTAGATATATAAAGGTTAGTTTAATGCAATAAAATAGATTTTTTAAAATCTGACATTCCAGCATGTTTTGGCCATTTTTGCTACGAGTGACTGGATTGGCTTGTCTTTGCCACATATGTTAATTGTGGCCGTCATTAAAAATGATCTTGTGTAGCGTTGCGTTCGTTATAGAATCGCAGATAGAGAATTTTTTTTTTTTTTCATTCATTTCTGTTGCAAAAGAACATTACAAAAAAGAAGCAAAATAAGAGAAAGCAAACTCTTACAGGTGATTAATGCCTTTTCCTTATGATGTGTAAATATAAATAAAAATCTTTTTTTTTATTTTTGTTAATGACTTTACTCAAGAAGGAAGAAGAGAACCACACATCTATTTACTGTAAAGCAGACTTAGCCAAATACCCATCTTTAAATTTCATTGATTACTATGGGCTCCCAATGTGTCTATTTCTAGCAATATTATTTTCATAAGTTTCAGTTACATTTTTTTAAGATATTGTAATTGAACTGTATTTCTTGGATCTTTCGTCTGTAAATCTTTTGACAAGAAGTTTATATTTAAAAAAAGAACATTTTTAATTACTGTATAATTTAAAGACTTATTGCAATAAATTTTAAATGATGATTACTCTTTAATCACTTTGTTATTTATAATTTAAAATAATTATATTTTCTTTTCAGTTTAACCATAATAAGAAATTGACAGAGCTCACAAAGTAAGAATCTAGCTTCCATGGTGAATAGTTGCATATTTAATCAGCTTTAAAATATGGAATAACGCCTAGTAGTACATAATCCTTGGTTTGGGGTCAATTTTGGATTAATAAGTCCCAGAATTAAAAATTGTTTATTAGGCTTTTATTTGTGATTCTGTTTCACCGGACTTGGTCTTTGGAAACAGCAACTCAACTTAAGGATGTGAAAGTTAAGAGAAAAAAATGTGAAGATTATCACAGATAAACGAAAGGTTTTCTTATGTCTTTGCACATGTATTTGCTTGGGTAATATGGTAAAATACATTTTTGTTTTGAATGATTATTAATTGTAGGAATAAAATTTATGAATTTGAACTAGACATTTTATATTGACCTTAACCCTAATAAAGTCTATTTACAGTATTATGTTCTAAAGCTCATAATAACATTGCTTTTCAAAAACTTCCAGTTAGCTTTATAGTACTAACATCACAATACCATACTGTAATTCTAATAAATTGCTTGCTTCCTTGTTTTGTTTTGTTTTGTTTTTTCATTGTACAGAGCTCTCAAATTTAAACTAGGTAAAGTGTCATAAAGTTTGAAATAGAGAGTAGTTTTATTTTATGTCATGTAATTTGCGGTTTTTATACTTTAACAAAAACTCATTTAATAACATAATAATGAGAATTCTTTATTTCTATCCCCAGTTTCATATTTGGGTCATCACTACTTTCAGATTCCTCTTAACCTAATTTTTCACTTTATTTAGTATTTATCAAATAGCATTGTTAAAAGTCAAAGTCAAATACTATAGTGTGATAAACAATTTCCAAAGCCTTGGTTATGAATTTGAAATAGGGGGACCCAGGAGGGTATTTTACAATAATGATCCATCATTCAGATACAATTGTTTACAGTACAGAAGCTCTAGATGGCCAGAAATGGCACTCTCAAACTTAAATGTAAATGCAATACTCTTTCCCCACCCACCTTCTTCCCCTCTCCCATTTTTTTAATTTTTAACAATTTAGAGGTGTATGGTATGCTGTCTGTGCCTCCTTGAATCCACCTCTGCAAAGCATCATTTTGAAAATGGTATAAAGTATGAATTAGGTTCACTATTGTCATATCATAGTCATTGTACTTAAAAAATTAAAAAAGAATTTAAAATATGAAAAAATAAAAGATAAAAAGAAAGTTATTACATTAGCTTTTAACAGGAAATTTGAAGGAATATGTTCTTGCTGATTAAATACATTTTAAAATATTAATTTCCTCATTCTGCAACTTTAAAGTTCCCTTGAACAAATACTTAAGTAACTATGCTGTCCTTATATTTAAGAATCTAGGAGCTACAATATCAGCTGTTTAACTATTTAAAAACCCCAATTGGATCGATTAAAAGTTATATAGTCTTTGGAGACAAGTATAGCTATTGAGAGGTCCTGGCAGCTTTGTTTGATGTGGTTCTGAATGGTTGCATTGGCCACCAATTCTTACCTAGAGGGCAATTTTGGTCTACGTGTTAGGCATTCATGTCACATGGACAAAGTACAGTTAAATACATTTGCTATTGTTTTGATTTTCTCTGTACTGGTACTGGTATGGTACGGGCAGTTATAATGTGCCTCTTCCTTGCGGTTATAAAGCGCAGTTCCTTTCACTGGTCATTGTGTCCACATGCTAAATGTTGCTTCTGGTAATCAGCGCAGGAACAGGCAACCCCAGGTACCCATTTATACTCCTGGGTGGAGAGAAGCAATGTAGATAAAGTGTCTTGCTCAAGGACACAAACGAAATGCACAGCAAGGGATTGAAACCCCGATCTCAAGGTTGGGACACCAAACCGTTCCTGCTGAGCCAAACTGCTTCTGTGTAAAATTAATTATGTACAGTAACCCTTCCTTTGGGGCATTACTATTAAGGGGACAGCACCACTATTTTTGGCCATGAAGTGAGGGAAAATATGTTTCTAAACATTACACCCAACACCTATTCAAGGTACCGTACTCGCGCGAATAAGCGCCCCGTTTGAATAAGCGCCCCTCTCAAATAACCGCATGAAAATTAACAACAGCATAACAACATGAAAATTTCCTTAAGCGCCCCGTTTGATTAAGCGCCCCTTCTAATTTGAATTAGCTCCCCCTCAATAATATCATAAGATTTTCTTTTTAGCAAGTCAATAATCCAATCAATCCAGGGACTGTGGTTGTTGGCATGATTTGAGCTGCAGAGTGGAAACACATTCTTCTTAAGTCAATATCAAAATGATATTTCTCTTGGACAGATGAGAGCTCCTATCCCTGGACAGACAGTATATTTCCAACTTCACTCTTTTTTACATATTTGTCTACACCTAGTCCTACTCCTCTTTTTCTTTTTCCGACCTTTAGCACATTCTCATCTGATTTTTCAAGAAAAAATACAATGATCCTGCCATCCTGCTAATCTTAATCGGGCCGATGGCCAACAAGCTAACCACTACCCACCACCACTAATTGCATCTGCTATTTTGCTGTTATGTATTATATTCAGGCTTTCTTGTCATGTTCTCTGGACGATTATCTTTTCTGCCTAACCACCATTCATAATGTCCTTATATAATCTTTTTTTTATTCAAAAAGTACCTCTTGAATTTAATAATTTCCCATAAGAACCCCTCGATTTTCATCTATTTCCATAAGTGCCCCCCCTCAATTTCTACTCTGTTTTCATAAGCGCCCTGTTTAAATAAGCGCCCCGTTTGAATAAGCGCCCTCAGAAAGGGCAAAAAATATTTTAAGCACCCATGCGCTTATTCGCGCGAGTAAGGTACTCGCAATTTTAGTCCTGACATCCTCTTAAATAGCTGTTCTTGCAGTACTATAAAACCTAAAGTTTCCCCTGTTCTTGATTTTTGCAGAATTGCCAAGCATAATGGATACGAGTCGTAATGTTATTGCAACCTCACGCTCACGAGCCAACACACACGATTCTTCTGAGAATGGGAGCATGAATTGTAGCTATTTAGACGGACATTCAAACAAAGAAGAGTGTATGCGACGTCAATTAAAGTACTTCTTTATGAACACATGGCAAAAATATAAGGCTAAAGGAAGAAAACCTTGGAAGCTAGTAGTTCAACTTTTAAAGATCATTGTGGTGACAATTCAAGTAAGTGATTTGAGACAGTTTTTTACTTGGATGACATAATGAGGCTTGCATTCCAAAACCAGCATATTGTCCCTAATTGTTTAACATGTTTTGTGTGGCAGTATATTGTATACTGTAATACAGAGAAGCATACTTAATGGGCAGTAGTAAGTTGGTTCCAGTATTAAAACAACCATCGTTTTAAAGCTTAAAATGTGGAGAATAAGAATATATTAAAGTCAATTTTCATTCTTTGGTCACTGATGCTGGTTTTGGGATGACACGCCTCATAGTAAAGTAATCTCTTTATTTATACACGGCAAAACCCAAATTCAACATAGAAAATACAATATCAAAAAAGAAATTGTAAATTGTTGTTCTCCCTTGAGTCAGTGGTTCATTAATTAATAAAAACAAAAAAAAAATCAACAACAATAATTATATAATAATTAAAATATTAACAATATTATCATCACTATTAATATTATAAATAAATAAATAATAATAATAATAATAATAATAATAATATAGTATTGTTTGAAGGTTTGCATGGCGAAGTATATAACATATAAGTTGAAGCTTGCGGTACACCACGTAGGTTGTTCTGAAAATAACTTCCTCAACTACAACAGTTCTTTTTAGAACTACCTGTGTGGTGTACTGCAAGCTTCAACATATAAATAATAATAATAATAATAATAACAATAGTAAATTGTTTTATTATAATCATGCTACAATCATGCTATCATGCTACAATCATGCTATCATGCTACAACAACACAGAAGTAATTGTTAATATAATACTAATAGCAAATATCTATCGCAATACACTTTATCTACTAATAACCTTTAATGCTGGTACACACTGTGAAGATAACTGTTTCAGCTGATGGATCCATCTCCGTCCTGTGTGAATGCTTGACGACACGACACTATCTGCTCATTGGGAGTCCGAGTAGATCATCATAAAAAAAACGATCCTTCGTTTGTGTCCATGTCGCATTGGGCTCTCCATGTTCCGGCTGATATTGTCAGTGCAGTTTGCAGTACAGAAATCATTCTTAATACGATAATTATGCATTTCATTAAGCACCTTTTGGATGTCATGGCAATGGCATTATCTATTCTACTGTTGGAAGTTCCAATATTCTTAAAAATGAAAAATTATCAATCATTTTTGTTTACTTTGACTTGACTGAGGGGCATAGAACACGAGGCTCCCTAGCCTCCTTGGTTAGCCACCTCCATTCATGTCTTCTTTTCGCCAGTTCCTCTGCTTCAGGGAGTGGGGGTTGGGCATCTTAATTGATTTTTAAAAACATATTTTCATTTGTGTCTTTTTGTTTGTTGTATTTCCTTGTATTTGAGGAATGCTAGTTGGTATTTTAGATTAAGTGCTTTATTATTATTATTATTATTATTGATGATATATAATTTGCTGATATTACTGTTGTATGACTGTATTACTATTGTTGTTATTTTTACTATTTTATTTTCATAGTTGTGGTTCTTTGGGTACAACCAATTTAGTCTGGTGACGTTTTTAGAAGGAAATAAACTAGCCTTTGAGCATATGTTTATGTTGGAGTGGGATGTTGGCTACGATGCAGTGGCATATCCAAACACACGCAGTCTTTATGCAATTTATGAAAAAGATGAATTCTATGAACATGTTAATCACGCAGTTAATCAGGTAATTATTGAATTTCATTTCATTTATTAATATTACACCTCAAAAAAGTTCCTGGGACTTCTAAAGAAGCCAAATGCTTGACTCAGTGAGCCAGAAGTCCCAAACATTAAATTTACGAAAAACAAAGACAAAACAATAAAAAAAATCACAGAAAATTCTTGAGATTTCAAGATAATAGTAAGTAATAAATTATAATAACATTATTTATCAATAAAGTAAAAAAAAAATTATACTTTAGGCTTCACTTTGTAAGGTGCCACTGAGAAAATATTGAATAAACAAGGGATCTTTTTATCGTATTGCTACATCCATGCAAATTTTGTCCTCATTTTACATAGTTTTATGTCAAGCATACCAAAGTAATCTTTTAAGAACAATCTATGGAGAACATCTAGAAATTTACAGATGTGTAACTCTTTGATTTAGATTATATACGTGAGGTTGCTATTAATAGAAATTTGTGGAAAATGTTTTTCTGATTCTCTGTTTTGTTTAATAATAAGTCTATGTATACACATAAGATTTGAGCAGACTTTCAGATTTTGAAAACTCGGAGATTAATGAGATTCTACGAATTTTGGAATCCGTGTTCTCCCAAAGCCGTTTTACCCATCAATTTAATCGGGCAACCAGTAAAAATTTTGAGTTTGTAAAAATTAATGGTAAGGCCTACAGTAGGTAGTCTTGCCTGGCCCTCTTTCAATAAAGTAACATCATTCTATGTCTAGCCTTTGAATAATGTGTTGTTGTTTCTTCAAGTTATAAAACGCCACTCAAAAGGGGTAAATTTACTGGTAAAAATGTTTCAATTGGGAGAACACTAAGAATGATATCCGTTTGTTCTCTAAATGTTAAAGAGAAGTCAATTTTTATGGTAGTTTTCGCTGACAAAGGACTCATCTCTAAATATCTTTCTGATCATGATGATAATATTGATATGAATAATAAAAAGAAAGAATTGTTTTTTAAAACATAATGAAACAATTATAATATTTAATATTTATTTGTATATGTAAAATTAATTTTTATTCCCTCTCCCCTTATTTTTTAGTTTACTAAGTTGGAGGACATAGCTATTGGATCTTATGACTATGTGGACTGTCCAACGGACGATTGCAACATAACTTTATGTCAAACTTATTACAAAAATATCACAACAGCAAGCAATTCATATTCTGTGAATATAAATACTGTAGAATGTAAGTAATACTAAAGCTCTACCCATACTATCAAATTTTATGTGACAAATGATATGCATATATGGGTGTAATATGACACCAACATGGCCTTGTATGGGCACATCACACAAATTTTGTATTTTTTTTCAGTGATCCTTGTCATTTTCAGGATTGGTTTAGGTTGATTCATTGTAAAATACTTATTTTTAGTGGTTTACATTTGGTTGTGATTTCGACAATACATACAGCATACAGCGAATCTTGTGCTGTTTTCCAAAAAACTAATTCAATTCCATTCAATTTCTTTTATTGCTGCAAGTGCCATCTTGGTCTAATATCTGCAAAATCCCAATTTAAATACAAAAATACAATACAATAATTATGCATCATGAATGTCACTCTACAGTACTTGGCTGATTAACCAGCATATATACCCACCCTAAACAAACTATACATTGGGCGTTATTCCTCTAAGCTTCTAATAGCCTGCATATCTCAACCTTAAAACAAATTTTATATCCCAGGGTTACATATTTAATGCACACATAGGCCATATTCACAATTCCAAAAGTTTAAGCTATAATTTCAACTTTACATTTTAGCCCTCCAGCTGAAACACATGAAGAACAGCGGTAGAACCAAGGACCAAAATCTGCAGTGCAGAAATTCTTCGACGAGGGGTCCAAGGCCCCCCGATAAGAGCTCCAAATTTTGTATAGGGCGTCTGAATTTACCTCACCCTCAAATGATAAGAATCAACACTCTCAGACTAAAGAAAAATGTTTTTCTTTAAAACAGTGTTACCCAACGGCATAATTCTTTTTTTCCGAACAGTGGGTCCAAGGTTCCTAGGCGGGTGTCCTCTTTCCCACTGGAAAGCTATGTTGCACTCACATAATATTATATTCTACCTTATTTGATTGTTACTGTTCAGAACAAATAACAAGTTCTGCCAGTGGTTGCTTTATGATTACATTTATTTGTTAATGTGTGACGATGTGCCGACATAATAACGTGAGAATGTTTCAACTTGAACAACGATGTCAACGTCAACGATTGCCAGTGGTTGCTTTATGATTACATTTATTTGTTAATGTGTGACGATGTGCCGACATAATAACGTGAGAATGTTTCAACTTGAACAACGATGTCAACGTCAACGATTAACTGAAAATCAATAACATCACCTATTGTAAACAAAGATGCGATAGTAACCCAAATGTAGGCCTAACTAACTAGTACCATAGTCAATCAAATAATTAATGTACATAAGCCTAAATAACATAATACATAAACATAGCATATCCTACTACCACTTAAAGTGATTTATATGCATACCAAAAGGAGGCCTATGCAACCAAGAAACATACAGTACTTAAGTATTTACTTTACCAGCACCAACCGTAGCCTACCTATCTATGTTCCAACACACCACCGCCACTGCCTACGTGTAGGCCTAACAACAATCTGGCTCGCAATCTGGCATTGTAATTTGCAATTACAATGTGACCCACCTGCATTTAATAACGCATAATCAAACATGAACAACTTCATATCACTCAAGCATCACATTCAAACTTTCTAATTATATACTTTCACACAGAATCAAACATATATTGATAAGATGAATATTAAATCTAACAATAATAATAAAATAATACAAATAATACTCTATTTGGTCTTTACAGTTACATTTTTCATTTTATCATTTTCGATTTTGAGGGAAGATAGAGAAGAAATGAAATAACAGTTTTATGTTTTATATTTCAGATTGCTTGGACATTCCAGTTCATACATCTAACTTCTCATTGATAGAATTTCTGTATATAAATAACGAACCAGAAATAAATTTTGACAGGTAAAAATTATATGCTTAATATATTCTTAATGTACTTTGAATAAAATAATACAATTTTCAAAATAGTCAAAATGAAGCTTCAACATCTGCCTGTCAGTCCACCTGTCTGATATCTCTAAAATGCACATACTGTAGGGCCTCAAAGAATTCCTGTCAGTTACAGACATTTGTGAGGAAAACCAGAGTAAAATGATTTTTAAGTACAGATAAATTTTATGTTGGTTTTCCTATCAATTTACAAAATGTGCCTTAAATACATGTTTACTTAATGTAACTAAACTTAGAACATTTTGCTACTATGAAATATGCATATTAAACTTATCAGAAATCAAAAACATTTTTTGTCAAAATATCACTTCGGATATATTTTCTTGGATATATCAAAATTGACCTGGAACACAACAAGACTCACTTTGTCACGACAACTTGCATTTATTAGGCCATCTTTTTCATATCAGTGGTCGTATTCATCTGGTCGTTCTTCATTAAATCCTACTCAACAAAATGACCAGATTAATAGAAGTCTGGTAAATACTCAACAAAAAGAAATAGCTGTGTAGGTGCTGTGATGCATGCCAGCGTAGTCAAAGTTCAAGGTTCCTTCTTCTTGTAGTATTTGGGATTTATCGTAAACAAATAGGTTTAGGTTTTGTTTTTTTTTTTTATTTCTGTTAGTGTAGCCTGGAATTATTTTTACTTTTATGTAAGCAAATATTAATGTTATTTTCTAAAATTTAATTTGCATTATATTAATGCAATCGTCCATGTTTGTTTTGTCGCGTAGATAAACTTATCGCAAATAAACACACTCTAATTTATGTTAATTTCTATTGTCAATAAAGTTGATTTTACGAAAATAATGGTCAGTAACAAATTTTGCGGTTCAGCGCACACACAGTGGCTACCACCAGATTAGCTGACTGAGCTATAGGCTGCTCTCTTCACACCTGCAATGTTTTTAGCCTGCCACATTCTCTCCTTTCTTGCAGTATTTTTGTGGGCTCATCTTTAATGTAATGTAGTTTGATGAATATAGTGCTTTACACCAAAGTCTGAAAACGCTTGAGGTGTGAACTAGCTCGTACAGTGACTTGCTGCTTTCCTGGGTCTCATCCCGGTAAACCAGTACCAGCTTCTATCTCTCATTTATGCACAACATGGGCTGTATGAAACAGTACACTGGGGTAACCCCCTACTCATCTCGAAAGATGTACTGGGTTATGTAAAGTGCACATGAGCCAAGCTCCAACCAGCGCCGATATTTACATTTACAAATATTTAATTATTATGCTTTTCTTCTTTATTTTTCTTTCTCAATTTTTAGATTAGTATGTGCAACTTTGAAATTTTCTGTGAAAAGTTTTCTTCTGAGAACAGAGAAACATTTCTCATCACCAGATTGCATACTATTCCATATATCAGTAAGTTAAAAATGCCTCTTTCACTTTTCTTACCCCTGCCATCAGTTTAGAGAGGCAGTGCTTATAAACAAACCCTTGCTCCAAAACTTATCAATTTTGCTCATATTAGTGGAGTAGCAAAACCTTCAAGAACTATAAATTATGACAAATATTTTTTTTAAAAAAAGCTTATGTTAAGATAGGCTGTCATTTCATTATGCTGATTCTTTTCTGGATGTCCTAGACTAAAGGTAAAGGTAGGAGAAACCCATAAATTGCTGCTGAATTGTGTATGGATGAAGTTGGCGAGTACTTTAGCAGCCATAGAGAGGCATATAGTTCACGTCATTCCACGATGACGGGCTGAAATGAACCATAGAATTGGGATCACCCTATATTTCGGAGAGATCCAAAGGGTTCTTTAAAGTGCACACAGCCAGTGTACACTGGACTTCCCATTTTTTAAGTCCCTATCCAAGAAGACTTGGATTTATGAAGCAAAACCAGGAGCGGCACAAACCCGTGTCAATGTTAAGGCTGTAGTTAGAGGTGCCCCTGCCTTACTGCTCGGCCACTCAACTCACCCAAAAGTCAACTGTGCTGCACACTCAAAAAGAAAATTGTTATATATATATATAT